ACTCAAGAGATCAAATAGGTGATACCTTAACTAAAAGTCTACCAGCCCGACGATTTTTGTTCCTTCGAGACAAGCTCACTGTTACAACATCACAGTTTCGCTTGTGTGAGGATGTTAGGATATCTACCAATCCTAGATAAGGATGGACAGATTGTTAAATATTTATATTTAGTTATTGTAGATAGAGTTAAGTACTCTTTTAGTTCTATTAGGACTCTAAGTCCTTCTCCAATCTTAGTATTTAAATATTTGATGTATCATTAATAATTAATTAATTCAATCAAAACTCTTTCAATATAGATGATACTCTTAATAATGTCAAATTTCATCAAAGTAGAGAGATCATATTTACTTTTCTAAAGCAGCGAAACGGTTTGGGAATTGGAGATTTAAATTTCAGGACAATTGAGCAAGACTATTTTTACAATCATATGAACAGAATGGTCACAAAAAGAAGATAAAAAAACGATTTTTCATTAAACAACAACAATACATATACATTTTCTCAAAATTAGATTTTTTTTGAATTGTTGATTTTCTTTCAAAAATAATTAATAGTAGATACCATTGCACCATTAGTCAATTTTCACTTCTAGAGAACGATTTTTCATTCAATAACCCAAGAAAAAATCGTATCAAGAATGTGTTGTTTGTAAATTACAAAATCTCTCAAAAAAAATGACTTAACTGTTTTAAATCGACACGACATTTAGTTTTAGATAGAGAAAATGATGGCCAGAGATGAGGAGTAATATAATAGAGAGAATATTTGTTGATAGTAGAATTTTCTACGGAATAAGAAGAAAAGAGAACGATGGAGAGAAGAAGAAGAAGGAGAAGAGAGAAAATTTTAATTTCTTTTACTATTTTTCAATGGTTTCGATAGAACCAAAGTAGTTGGAAAATGTAGTGTTTTTTTTAAAAAAAGATTAGAAATTTTTGAAAAATGTTAATTTGATCTCATATTAATTTAGTTGTATTTTTTAGTGGGTTTGATCCTTTCTCGGTGAAAGTATCACAAAAAACAAAACCTGCAAGACTTATTTGATACATTTTATTCAATTTTCTTGTGAAAGCTTTAGCTTGAACAATAAGAAATTGTTGTTTAAAGTCGCGTTGAGTTTATACTACCGACTCTATATATAATACCACCTTTACTATATGTACTATTCATGTTTTTCTTTCTTTTCTTTGTCTCAAAACATACCCACAACAAGTAAGTAAATTCTTTATGCCCTTTATGTTTTGTGTTTCCTATTTATGAGTTTTATTCATTCGTTATGCTTTTACCATATGAATCATAGCATTTTCTTATGCTTTTTGATGTAATGTCTCATGTGTTCATGAGTTTTTCTCCAATATTTATGCCTTCACCAGATGAATACCAATATAGTTGAAGTTAGTTTTAAAAATTGATATAACGCGGATCCAAGAAAAGAGGCAACACATTGTACTATAAGAAAAAAAAGAGATTAAGACCTGTAAGCGATTCTTGCTAACTCGAGTTTATTAACAACATAACTCTCCATTTTCTTGCATATGTTTCTAGAATATCCAATTTATTGTATATTTTTCAAAACTCAATTTTGTTTCTTGCTAGATTTTTTGTGCCCTATAATGCTTTATAACCTGTGTCTAGATACGCTTAGTAGTCAGAACACCTAAGCTATTGCATGAGAAATTGGGAATGATCTACACACTCTTTGAAGATATTTTTTATCAATGATTTCTCTTCCAAATGAATTAAGTAGAGTTTTTCTTTCTTGCTTATGGTCAAGGTGTGGATTGACATATATAGAAGCTACACTTAATACTGTCAAATTTCAGTAGAGATCATATTTACTTTTCTAGAGTGGCAAAGTGACTTTGAAATTGGAGATTTAAATATCAGAACAGTTGAACAAAGCTATATTTCTATAATCATATGAACAAAATGATCACAAAAAGAATAACAAAAACAACAAAAAAGACTTTAACATTAATATATATACATTTCCTCAAATTAAGTTTTTTTTTGGGTTTATCGATTTTTTTTAAAAAATAAATAAATAATAAGTATTGTTACACCATTATTCATTGTTCACATTTATAGAACAACTTCTTGTTCATTAACTCAAGAAAAAAAAATTAATATCAAGAATTTGTTTTTCAAAAATTGCAAAATCTTTTTTTAAAAAAACTGACACGATGTTCAGTTTTTAGAAAAAAATGTGAAGACAGGAGGTGAGGAAAAAGATAATAAGGAGAATATTTATTGATAGTTGAATTTTCTAAAGAAAAAAAGAAGAGCAGGACATTTGGAGAGAAGAAGAGGAGAGAAATTTTCGCTTTCTTTTAATTTTTTTAATGGTTTGGATAGGATTAAAGTAGTTGAAAAATATCGTATTTTTTTTATATTTTATAAAAGATTAGAAAGTTTTGAATATGTTAATTTGTTTCCATGATTAGATTGCTTACATTTTAAAGTGGATTTGATCCTTTTTTTTAATCAAATTTTCATAAAGAATAAAATCAAAATTCATTTGACACCTTTTATTCAATTTTTTCTTGAAAGCTATTAGCTTAAACAGTAAGCTTAGCAGTTTAAAGTTGTGTCGAGTTTATGCTACCGACTCTATATATAATACAAGTCTTCCAATATATACTACTCTTGTCCTTCTTTATTTTTTTTAGTCTAAAAACATATCCAAGTACGTCAATTTTTATGCCCTTTATGTGTCCCCAATTTATGAGTTTTCTCCATTCGTTATGCTTTTACCATAGGAATCATAACGGATCTTTACGTTTTTTGATGTAATGTTTCTGTTTATGAATTTTTTTTTCCATTCTTTATGCCTTCACCATAGGAGTATCAATATAGGTGAAGTTAGTTTTAAACATATAACACAGATTCAAGAAAAGAGACAAAACGTCATACTTTAAGCGCTATTGTATTGCTTACTGAGAAGTTTTTACCAACATAATTTATTATTTAAATCAATTTACAACAGTAATATATTTTTTCAAAATTTTACAAAACTAGTATAAACGTTGTTGATAGTAACGTATTAGGTCATCTATTAATTCTGCCAAGAAACAGACCAAAACTAACGGGGGACGGCGTTAAAGTTATAATACGTTACTACAAATAACGTTTTAGAGTTTAAGTTGAAATACGTTACTGAAAGTAACGTTTTAGAGTTTAAGTTGGAATACGTTACTGAAAGTAACGTTTTAGAGTTTAAGTTGGAATACGTTACTGAAAGTAACGTTTTAGAGTTTAAGTTGGAATACGTTACTGAAAGTAACGTTTTAGAGTTTAAGTCGAAATACGTTACAGCTGGTAACGTTTTAGAATTATTATCTTAAATCCAATTAACCCATTAGCCGCACTTTCCTCACCTTCTAACCTAAACCCTATTTCATATTTTTTTCCCCTTTCATTCCCTCGCTAAGAGAGCATATGCATGCCACTGGTTCGATTCTTGTCGTTAATGTTGTCGGAAAAAGAGATTCACAATATTTCAGCGCCATAAGTATTTCGAGAGGTAGTTTCTTTGCTTAAGGTATGTTTTTCTTTACGAAGGAATTGAATTGAATCGTAAGTAGGATTCTATCTTGTATAAATTGAAGAACGTGCCAACCGACTCATGAAATTGGATTCCAAAATAAGTTGTTATCTGGTAACTTGTTTTGTTTAGTTCGATTTAAGGATTGTTTCATGGTCACTGAACTCAGAATTGTTATTTAAAGTTGTAACAATTGTATATTGTTGAAGAAGATTGCGTAGCAGTGCATTGAGAGAATAGCTATAGTCATTGTTACATTGTCTTTTAGATTAGTATATGTTTGTTAGTTAGTTACATAACATAATTAATTTGTTAGCCTAAATTGTGTAACTCATTAGTTGGTTTGATTATTGTAATTAGCACTTTAGTCATTTATATAAATAGCCTACTGTACAGATGTAAACATACAATGAAACTATCTAATAATGATAATCTATATTCTTCTCTGTGATTCCTTAAATTTGTCTCATCTATTCAAACAATTCTCTGTAAATTTTGATTCTTAACATATATCAACAAAAAGATTATACTCAAGTTCTATTGTTGCTTAGTGTAGTCTAAGATGGTGTGTCTTATATCAACACACTTCCAAATTAAAGAGAATGACCTTAAAAATTTTAAATGTGATTTCATAACTTTACATCACTTTTGAAGTATGTCGCCAAGAAAAAACTACATAATAGTTCGGGCTAACATATAAGTTTACTTTCATGTGTATTTCATAGGTATTTTTTATGGCTAATGATAGTGAATACAAGTTGGATACCGGTCCATTGGAATCGAATGTATTAACGGGACAACTTACTCATAGATCACAAGATATATGGGAAGGAAATGTTAATATGATTCTTAATACGAGGAGAGAAGATGGAAATTTTTGGAAGCTCATAGAGAAATATCCCATCCACCCACGAGTTCTTGAAGTAATTAGGTTATCTGGATTATATGGTGTTTACAAATCTAATCGGCCTGCTATTGACCGTAGTTTGATCACTGCACTAGTTGAGCGTTGGCGTCCCGAAACTCACACTTTTCACTTTAGAACAGGCGAAGCGACAATTACCTTGCAGGACGTAGAGGTGTTGTATGGATTACCTGTGAATGGTGATCCACTACTTGGTAATGAAATGATAAGGACCATAGAGGATTGGCAAAACATTTGTCAAAAATTATTAGGTTTTGTTCCTTCTCGTGAAGACTTCAAAACAAATTTCATCAAGGTCGCTGCATTTAATTCACACATGTTAAGCCAGCCATATTTTTCGAACATGGCAACACAAGATATGGTTAATCAGAAGGCAACATGTTTCATGTTCTGGATGATTGCAGGTATGATGATGGCGGATACATCTGGTGGTTATTTGAAGCTTATGTACCTGCCTATGCTCGAAGACGTCGATAAAATTGGATCTTATAGTTGGGGGAGTGCGACCTTGGCATACTTGTATCATTTTCTTTGTAAAGCTTCACAGAGTACCCAAAATGAGATAGCCGAATTTTTGCCACTACTTCAGGTATACCTAATGATTGTACATATAATTTATTTATATTTCTTTCAATTTGTCTCTGTAGTGTTATTGGAGGATGAAATTTTTTAGAGATGTAATCCTAAAACTCTTTCTCCCAGATTTGGGCGTGGGAGAGAGTCACTGTTCTCCGTCCTCAAATAGTAGCCCACAGAGATGCGAGAACTATTTGTCATGTTGGTTTGCCTAGGGGTCCGCATGCTACTAGATGGTTTGCACATCTTAGTTGGACGAATACTACCAAGCATGTGTTGAAAGTTTATAGGGATGCACTTGACTCTATGATAGAAGATCAGGTACATTGCTTTTACTTATTTATAAATATTGTAAATGTAAAGACTCACTTTACTCTTTTCTTTTTTCATGTAGTTTATTTGGGAACCGTATTCCGATGACTTAATTGAGAGTCTTCCTCTCTATTGTCATGCTGGACGAGACATATGGCGAGTTAGAGTTCCAATATTTTGTTGGGATGTGGTCGAGGTTCATTTGCCAGATCGTGTTATGAGGCAATTTGGACTACAACAAGCTATACCAACTCCGTTTCCATTTGATTCCAACCACTTTCGCCATGATCATCGAGGAAGACCAAATACAAATTGGGAGTTGGAACATGCACATTGGTTATCATTTTGGAACCAACGTCTCCAATATAGTTGTGATGCACCGGTTAATAATGAACCACTTTGCTATGATGATCCATATCTTATTTGGTTCAGGCGCATTACTCGTCTTGTTATTGGTAATCCTAATTCACGTCCTCAAAATCAACAAGGTTATGTGCCTAATTCGACGGCATATGAAACTATGGTATGCCATTTATTGATTAGTGTTGTTTACTGTTGTTGCTGCCAAGTGATTTATGTGTCTTTATTGATTTTAGTGTGTCATTTATTTTGTTTAATGTAGTTGCTGGAAAGTTTTTCATTGTTCTTGGTACTGCTAAGTGTTTAGAAAAATGCTAAAGGTAATATATATAGGAAAATTAAAAGAGTGAGAGTAGTGAAGTGGGGATACTGATGAGGAGATGTAGATGTTATTTTCATTTTTATGAATGATTGGAATTCAGCCAGTTGCATTCTTTAGTTGGCAGTGAATTCATTGCTTAAGTGATAGTCCGATCTAAATCATCAGATTAATGGTGCGTCATTAAATAACTTTCACTTTAATTTATTTAGGTGCGTCATATTCATTCGATGGTTGATGAAGCTAAAACACTTGGTGATAATCCATCATATGAGGCCTTATACATGTTTAGAAAAATGGTGCGAGATCAAGGTTCTGATTGTTTGAAATATGTCCATGAGGCTGACAGGGTTCATGTGTCAGCCGATTATAGAAGAGATGTGGTACAACCTGTCCAGTTACATCACCCAGTTCGTAGGCGAGGAAAAGGTGGTGTTGCAGGTAGGAGAGAACGTGCTGTTGAAAGAGCACAAACACATGTTGAAATAGATCAGGCCACACAAAATGTCCAAGAAGTCTTAGAAGATGATCAAGCAACATCCAATTATAATATTGGTTCTATTTCAGGAGGTTGCACTCATGAATTCACTCAGGCATCAAATATGACATATCAACTGTCAGAAACAGATATCATGCCATACATGACGCCACAGACTCTACAAATATCAAGTCATCCAAGTCTTTCATCACTTGAGAATGTCATTGATAATTTTGAGAATGTCCCAAATTTTAACTCATCGCCTGTGCCTCTGATCATTGAAACCCCTGATGCCACTAATAATTTAGAGGACCCGAATCATGATGTGGACGATAATGATCCAAAGGATGCAAATGAAGGCGGTGATACGACTATTCAAAATAGTGAACCATCAAGGAGGGAGAAGCGTAAAATTAAACTTAAGCCTTGTGGGACTGGTACTTTAACATCTCACATTTTTTATTTAGTTTTACTCTCTTTTAGAATAATAGAACATTTATATTTTCTTTACAGGCGGTCACTATGCTATCCAACATGTCCAAAAAAAGAGAGCCAAGAATAAGTAATGAAAATTGATGTTGCTGAAACCTTTTGGTGCTGCTGAAAATTGGTGTTGTTGAAACCTTTTGGTGCTGCTGAAAATTGCAGCCAGTACTGTTGAAAATTGGAGCTGCTGAAACCTTTTGTGGCTGTTGAAAATTGCAGCCAGTACTGCTGAAAATTGGAGCTGCTGAAACCTTTT